AGTGCTATAAAAATAATCAGGTTACGAATATCGTTGTAAGTCAATAAGTTGGTTAGGAACTACAAGACATTTTGAAAAATGGACAGGTTAGTGGAATGCAGAATAATAATTTATCAACTACATTTTTGAAAAATGCGGCAGCAAACGTTTTAGATGATACGAATGATCGTGATAATTATATTGATTGATGAAATTCGAAATAGAAAAGGAGCAGATACGATTGCAGGTGATATGAAGGATGCTCAGGAATTGGAAGATGATACATGATTCATGGTGTGGTATTGAATGTGGTAGAATTGTTAGTTTTGCAATTGAGGTGTAATAATCAGTCATCGGTTGAGGGCGAGAAGTCGCACAAAAAAAGGTTGCGGGATAAGTAATTGACGGTGATAAGCAGCAAGACGTGCGTAGCTCATGTGGCATCCGACAAATCGAGTCGATATGACCAAAAATACCAAAATATAGATGGGTGGATGGGAAACTGTTGCATAAAGAATATTTGTCTCCGGCTTATAACTTATTATATGAAAAATGCATTACATTTGAGTTGTAGTGAAAGTTTAGCAAGGGAACGTATAAGTCAAAGTGGCCGATTAATGGAGTATCATTAGCGGAGCTTGCAGACAGATTTTAAATCTACCTTTGCCAAGAACTTCTATGGAAGAAGCTTCATGTCTTTTTCTGCCTAAAACGGCTTCAGCGACTATTAACAATTGTTTTGATAGATTTCGGCTTAAATTTGTAACAAATGTCGTTCATGAGTATTTTGCCGACATCCGGCTTAGGTGGCATCTCCGTTGCCTAACATTTCGATGTTTCCATCTTTTTAAGGCCTCAAACAGATCTGAAATCTGATCTAATACATTAAACTGCCAAATGTGCTCCTCTTACATCGCATTCACACTTTTTCTACGGTACAACGCCTTAGGACCAATGAAAAATGGGCGACTCACCTTTATTTCACCCATTTCAGTTTTGTTAGTATTCTGCACCTTCGTAGCGGACATAATTGAGTGCCACCTAGCGAGCCAAAT